ACATCACACACGCTTGGCTGGGCAACAGAATTCGGCTTGCAGGCAGCCATGGTAAGGCAAAGGATTTTGGCTTCTTCAACCTTCGTAACGTGGGAATGGTTTCAAACAGCAGCGCCCTCCTTTCCCATACCAAGCAAAGCCTGTTGGGTTGGCCATTTAAAAGGATGGATTGCAGTTTTAGAGTGAATGTGCAGCACAATCCAACCCCACCCCCCCAATTCTCTGGGATGATCGCTTCATCCCCCCCCCAACACATACACACCACATGACTAGTATCAGGGAAGATCCCCGTCAGCCAAACACGAACAACTCAGCATGAACGGGCCTCCCCCCACCGCGTGGCTAACAGCAGGGATGATTTCTTTTCAGCCAAAGGCAAACAGCCCAGCAGGAACGGGCACCTCTGAATGTCCCCTTAAACAAATTTCCCATATTTCAACCAGTTGACCATGAATGATATCACTCTCCTGAGGGTAACACAGAGAGATAAAGAATGGATGTTGCTTGAATGCCACCAAAGCCCGGGCCCATTCGCTGCATTGTTTTGTTCTGCAATGATTCCAGACTACTTGCTACTGGCTTGGCGTGGTAAAGTGTCCTACCATGGAGGACGGAATAAGGCTGCCCTTCCCAGAAACCTTCTGCAAAGGCTTTTAGAGTACCTCCAGGAGAGCTTCATGGAGATGTCCCTGGAGGATTTCTGCTCCATCCCCAGACACGTTAACAGACTTTTCCAGTAACTATACTGGCCGTGAATGCATCCCAAATCTTCAGGGCAAATTAATCATTAAACACGCTTGCTTTTAAACCCTGTATTATATTTACAAAGGTACGCTCACGAGAGGTGCCTTCTCCGGCTTCATGGTCCGGGAGCCCGCCTTGGGAGGGTATTGGCTCCAGGGTGATGAACAGTTCCTGGCTGCCAGGGAGAAGGGATTCTCCACTCCCCTGCTGTGCGCTATCCTCAACCTTCTCCTCCTCCTCATCTTTCTCATCCACAAAATCCTCATCCCTGTTGCGTGAGACTCCCCCCTTGCAGGTGTCCACGGACAGTGTGGGGGTAGTGGACAGTAGTAGGGGCCCCCCCAGAATTGCATGCAGCTCATCATAGAAGCGGCATGTATAGGGCTCTGAACCAGAGCGAATGTTTGCATCCTTTGTTTTTTGGAGGCTTGCCTCAGCTCCTTAACTTTCACGCAGCACTGCTGTGTGTCCCTGTTGTAGCCTCTGTCCATCACGCCCTAGGATATTTTGGCAAATATATTGGCATTTTGTCTTTTGGAACAGAGTTCTGGCTGCACAGATTCTTCTCCCCATACAGCGATCAGATCCAGTATCTCCCGTTCGGTCCATGCTGGAGCTCTTTTGCGATTCTGGGACTCCATGGTCACCTATGCTGATGAGCTCTGAATGGTCACCTGTGTTGATCAGCTGACCACACTGGCCAAACAGGAATTGAAATTCAAAAGTTCCCAGGGCTTTTCCTGTCTACCTGGCCAGTGCATCTGAGTTCAGAGTGCTGTCCAGAGTGGTCACAATGGAGCACTCTGGGATAGCTCCCAGAGGCCAATACCGTCAAATTGCGTCCACACTACCCCAAATTCGACCCATCGAGGTCGATTTTAGCACTAAACCCCTGACCGGGGAGGAGTACAGAAATTGATTTTAAGAGCCCTTTAAGTCGACAAAAGAGGCTTGGTCGTGTGGACGGGTGCAGGGTTAAATTGACCTAACGCTGCTAAATTCAACCTAAACTCAAAGTGTAGACCAGGGCACAGAAACAGTTTTGTCAGAATGGAAGTAGTTCAACTTTATATACAAATTATGGGCATCTTAGAAATACCTCAAAGATATCCTAAGGACTGAGAGGGCGGGATAGTTATTGCATTATCCATAGTAAATGTTACATAGGAAAATGTAAAAAGATGGTTTGTGCTTGATGTTGAAAAGAAAATCTCTTTTTTTTTACTGAACATATTAGACGCACCATCAACTTGAAAATCATGGTGCTTGAAAATGTTGTACTTTCTATCTGCAGTATTGTACCTCATCCAGTGTACTTAATGCCCCAATAGCAATATGTGGGTGAACCCAGACAATCACTATGTTCTCAAATGAACTCACACAAGAAAATGATAAAAGACCATATCACTTGTGTGTGAAAACTTTTCACTGGATGTATCCCACTGTTCCTTGGGGTAACTTCCATAGTCCTGTCCATGCTAACAATCTGCAGTGCAATCTATTTCAAATGGAAGTCACACCTCCCTTTGCAAAAAGCAGCAGCTAAGGTCAGTGTTAACATATTGTCTTCTGAACTCCGACTTGCAAGCACACTATCAGAGAGCCTGCAGGGGTTTTCAGTAGACACTGATCTGATGAAGTCTTTTGCAAAGTGAGCTGCTTCCTGGTCATGTGAGCACAGCCAGATTTTGGTGAATCTGTGGTGTAAGGCCAGTAAAACTGTGGACTTCATCAAAAGCATAAAGAATAACCATGCATACCAGCCGATAGCTAAAAAGCTGGCAGCTCAGTGGATTTTCCAAACAGGTGATAAATGCAGGGTGCGAATTAAGAGGCTAAAGAGAGAATACAGGAAAACCTAGGATAAGAGTCACATCTCGGGCAACTCGCAAACAACATGCCTATTTTATGATGACTTTGACCAGGTCCTGGGCACTGCACCCAGCCCAGAGCCAACTGTGCTTCATGATGACCTGGTGAACTGATGGAGCACTGCTGGCTCCTGAATCCGGAATGGGGATTCATTGCAGCCAGCAGCAGGCTTCGAGCCAGGATCATGAAGTGACTCTTGTAATGCAACCAGTTCCACAGCAGGCTGTGGATCAGGATCAACAGCAAAATCTCAGTTCCCATGTGAAGGAGCCCTCCTACTCCTGAGGAACAGCGCACTGCTGGAAACCTGGAGGAGACAGAAGTCGCTCAAGAGCCTGGTAAGTATATGATTCAAATTAAAAGTTTATTATTACTGTAATTGGATTGATTTGTAGTTAAAGAGCAATGCAAAAACGCTAAGCCCCAGTTACCAGCGTTTGGACACTAATGGTGGATTGTATCACAGCGTCTAGGCGTCCCCACCTTCCCCCTCCCCACTGTGTGGAGTTCAAAATGGTGAATTGGAATTTCAGACTTTTAAACACAGCTGTATTTTAACTGTTAAGACAAAGAGATTTGCTACAGTCATTCTTGTTTTCCTTTGAGTATTTGGAAATTTGCCACTTTGCAATCACTCCTCCTGGGAGTTATTAATTATAAAAATATTAGTAATTAATATTAAGATATTAATTAAATATCTCCTCCTGGGTCTGTGCAGCTGCCTGTAAATAGTAAACTGAGTGTGTGTGTTTAGGAAACAGTATTCTTCTTCGAGTGCTTGCTCATGTCAATTCCATTCTAGGTGCGCGCGTGCCCACGTGTGCAGCTGTCGGAGATTTTTGCCTAGCGATTTCTGTAGGGTTGGCTGTGGCGATCTCTTGAGTGCTGCCGGCCTTACGCCCTTGCAGCTGCTTCTTACCGTCCATGGTGGTTAGTCGGAGCATCTTTCCCTTGCCTAGCAAAGGTTAGTGGTTCTTCTACTTCGCTCTTTGAGCCTTAAGGCTTTGTAAATAGTTCGTTTACAGTAGTTAGTTAGTAAGTAGTGTAGTTAGAGATAGAGTCCCAGTGGGGACTTTGCCCAGGTGGGGCATGCCCCATTGTCTCTGGGTTTTAAGCCCTGCTCTGACTGCAACAAGCCTATGCCTGTTAGTGACTCCCATAGCAGCTGCCTCAAGTGCTTGGGGGAAATCACATGTGAAGGACAAGAGTCGCATCTGTAAGAACTTTCGTCCCAGAACTCAGAAAGAGCAAGACATCCATTTGAGGGCCCTCCTCATGGGCTTCTCTCTGCCCGGTATCCAAGCCTTCCTGGTTGGACTCTGCCCCAGCACCTTGGCCTCGGTGCGCAGCGCACCCCCAGCACCAGGCTGCGCCCGGTACTACTCCCCATTGCCGGTGCCTAAGAAGAGGTTGAAGAAGAGCGATTCCCCAGCACCGAGCAAGAAGGGCAAAGGACCTAGTTCGGGCCACCAACCCACACTGGAGCCACATGGGGACACCCCCCCTGATGGGGCCCGCTAACCCCCCGAGGGATCTGCCCCCGACTCCAGGCAGTGGTAGGGGACCCAGAGTGGTGACAGGGCCAACACCTTCCCAGGCTCTCCTGGCGCCCATAGAGCAGAGGCCTCTACCAGCGTGCCAGCACCGCGTGTGTCGCAGGACACGGCAAGGGGTCCTGGTGAGGTCAAGCCAACAATGAAGACTCCCCAGAGGGCAGACAAATGACGATGGGCTCCGAAGACGAGACAGCATTCTCCGTCTCCACGCCCCCAGGTCTCTATCTTCTGCGGGACGTCCGAGATTGCCGGCACCGTGATTGCGGTCTCTGCCCTCTCAACGTGGGTCCCCTAGAAGAAAGCATCGGTCACCGTATCGCTGGCACCGATCATCCTCCTGCTGGCTGTCCCCTTGGCGCAGACCCCCGTCTCCCAGACAGTGGGAGTAGTCTCTGTTGCGGTATCAATCCCCCAGGCCCTGGCACCGATCCACCTATTCGAGGCACCGGTCTCACGTGGCAATGGTTAGCTATCAGACACAAGCTTCGACGGCCCCTCCATGGTCATTGGAAGGTGATTCCTCTGGTATGGAAAGGGAATTCAGCCCTTCACCGCAACAGCACTGGCACGATTGGGCACCTGGTGCTGCGTCGACTTGCGCAATGCTGTTGTGGCAGCAGGCGAGTGGCTGGAGCAATGGCCCTGCTGATGCTGATGCCTCTGTCAATCCATTCCTTGGCCGCCACCTCGGAGCAGCAACCAACAGCACTGAGCTTGATGCACAAGGCGCACTCAAAGGCTGGGATAGAGGAGTGAGCACACACCCCAAAATCCTTTTCCCCTGTGGGGAATGATGCCCTAGGACCTCCCCCGATGACCTAGTCTTACCTGTATCTTAATGATTGGCTTATCAAAGGCAGATCTCAGGAACAGGTGCAGAGGAGCCTTGATCTAGTTCGTTCCACCTGCCATGACCTGGGCCTGTTGATAAATGAAAAGAAATCGACCTTAAGGCTGGTGCAACAAATAGAGTTCATTGGGGCGGTTCTTGGCTCCACATGAGCCAGAGCCTTCCTTCCAGAGGCACGTTTCCAGGCCATGTCACTCCTGAATCCCCCATGTGAAACACTACCCACTCACCACTGCTCACACCTGCCTGCGATTGTTAGGCCACATGGCCTCATGTATGCACATGGTCCCGCATGCCCAGCTCCATTTCCGGCCACTGCAAGCATGGCTGGTGTTGGTCTACATCCCTGTAAGAAGGTTGGGACTCACCACCGCGGCGCCTCCTACTGGTTACTCCGGGAATTAGTTCAGTCCAGTGGAGCGTCCCCTCTCAGTAGTATCCCGCCCGTTGTCTTGCCCTCGGTTGGCTTCTGAGCCCACGTCGCTCACCAACTTGCGGCGTCCTCTACAGGACCACTGCCCTCCAGCAGTGCCCCTTAGTCCTTCCACACACCCTTCTGGGGGACGTGGGGGTCAATCAGCTGGCTCTATGTCCAGCCACCATGGTCAACCACACACCCCAAAGTCTAATCCCTGGTAGCCGCGCATTTGCCCAGGGCCAGGAACATGTTAGCAGATGGCCTCAGCAGGACCTTCTTAGTTATAGATAAATTTCAGTTGGGGGTTCCTTCTTCCTCCCCTGCCCCACGTTTCCCCTTCTGGGGACCGGGGCATGCCTCGGTCTCAGGGTTTCAAACTGTGTGGGTCCTGTCTGAAGCCTATGCCAAAGGGAGACCCACACAACTCCTGTCTGAAGTGCTTGTGGGAAGCCCATCAAACAGATAAATGTAAGATCTGCAGTGGCATCTGACCAAGGACCAAGAAGGAGAGGGACTTTAGGCTGAAACTACTCCTCATGGGTTCAGCCATTTGTCCCCAGATGGCAATGACGGTGTCTGATCCCAAACCCAGCACTTTGGTGCGGAGCGCACTGGCCTTGGTACGAGAGGCCACAGCGCCGAGAAAGGACTTGGGCTCCAAGGATCCTCAGCACTGCCATTCCACGACGCTGAAGACCTCCTCCAGTGCGAGTGCCCAGCACCACTCCCATTCATCGGTGTCGCACAAGAAAAAGAAGATGGACAGCAGTCGTTCTCCCACTAAAGTAGTGGAGTGAGGAGGCACCAGCCAGGTGTGTTCCCTGCTAGGACACCCTGCTCCAGCTCCAACTCAGCTGTCACTGTTGACTCCGGCCTTACAGTTTGTCAAGTCCGGTTCTAGTGGACTCCCCAGTGCGGGAGTGTTGGCAGGAGGACCCAGACCTTCCCTCTACGCCAGACACCTTTGCAGCAGTTAGGGACCTCATAACGATGACGGCGCAGTCCCCTGCACCGGCATGGATGCCACAAAGAGGCACAGTGCCCTCTCGAGGCAAGCTGATGATGACGAGGCACCGCTTGCCCTCACCTCGGCACTGCTCCCGAGCACCATCTCGCTCCGCACCGCCTTGGTTGCCAAGGTCGGAGTCCTCATCGGACTTGGAGGCAGAGTCGTACACCTCTAGGCAAAGCCGGCACCGACCTCGGCACTGCTCAAGACAAGAGCAAGGGCAGCCGCTACCCATGATGTCCTGGCCTCTGCTGTGGCAGGTGCCGGCTCAATGGCCCTTCTGGACCTCCTGGGCCTACTACGAAGCCCTAGGGCCGGAGTCCAGATCCTTATCAGTGGCTTCGGAGGCATGGGTCCCTCCATCATCGACATTGGTAGCCCGGGAACCTCCTCAAGGGCAGGAGATGGGCACGCAGGTTGGCACCAAGACTGCTGCGGGACCCGGCACTGGGACCAGTATTGAGAGGGTGCAGGCCCGGAAACCAGCACCACTCCTGGCACTGCACAAGGTGTTTCGGTGCAAGGGGATCCCGCGAACCAGAGGGTCAGGAAAACCCAGTGCCCCCGCAGGCATCTTCCTCATCCTCCCTGGATGAAGTGGTGGCAGGCATTTCCACCACACTGCCTGCTGTGGATAACAGGGCACACCAAGAGTTTCTCAGGAGGGTGGCTCAAAACTTAAGCATGCAGTCGGAGGAGGTGTCGGAGGAGACCGACCCTATGGTTGACATTCTGGTCCCTGAAGGTCCTTCAAGGGTGGCTTTGCCCCTTATTAAGTCTATCTATAACACCACTAAGGTGTTGTGGCAAACACCCGCCTCTCTTCTCCCCATGGCAAAAGGGATACAGAGGAAATATATTGTGCCCTCCAAAGGGTATGAGTACCTGTTTACTCATCCTCAGCAGGGTACTCTGGTGGTGGAGGCGGCCAACCATAAGGAAAGGCAGAGGCAACTGGGGCCGACTCCTAAATCCAAAGAGGCGAAGTAGCTGGATTTCTTTGGTAGGAAGGTGTATTCTACCGGGGGGCTCCAGCTTCTCATTGCCAACCAGCAGGCAGTCCTTAGCTGCTATAGCTATAATTCCTGGAACATGTCCATATTTCAGGAACTGCTTCCAGCAGACTCCCGTTTGGAGTTTGTGGCTGTCCTGGAGGAAGGCAAGGTCATCACAAGGACCTCCTTATAGGCCTCGCTGGACTCGGTGGAGTCAGCAACCCATACGATGACAACTGCGATAGCCATGAGATGGAGCTCATGGCTTCAAGTGTTGGGACTCCCACACAAAGTCCAACACATATTCAGGACTTGCCTTTTGACTGTTCAGGCCTCTTTTCGGAGCAAACAGACACTAGGCTTCACAGCCTGAAAGACTTGCAGGCAACACTGAAGTCCCTGGGGCTTCAAACGCCAGCCCACCAAAGAAAGCCATTTAAGCCACAACCCACCCTTCGCTTCTCCTCAGCTCTTCCTAGGCAGGACTGTAGCAGGAAGCAGGGCAGGAGTAATAGGCAGAGGCCTTCTCAGTCCTCCTCTAACCAGGGCCAAGGCTCAGCGAAGCAGCCCTCAGCCTCCAAACAAACTTTTGAAGGTACTCCCAGGGGTGATGCACCAGTTCAGATGCCATATCCTTCCCCTCCCTTTGTGAATCATCTGTCTCATTTCTACCAGGCCTGAGCTCAAATCACCTCAGACCAATGGGTCTTGAGCAAGTAGAAGGGCTAGATAGACTGTACCCTCAAGTTAGGCAGATGATTCCCCCATGGGATCTCAACCTGCTGCTCTCGAGGCTGATGGGCCCTCCCTTTGAGCCCCTAGCAACATGGTCTCTACTTTACCTTTCTTGGAAGGTGGCATTCCTATAACTTCAGCCAGGAGGGTGTCTGAGTTCAAGGCCCTCACATCCGAGCGCCCTTATACTGTGTTTTCTAAAGACAAAGTGAATTTGCAGCCACACCCAGCTTTCCTCCCAAAGGTAGTTTCGCAATTTCATGTGAATCAGGACATTTTTCTTCCAGTGTTCTTCCCTAAGCCAAATGCTAATAACCAGGAATGGATGCTCTGTTCCCTGGATGTCAGATGAACATTAGGCTTTTATATTGGGCGGACAAAGCCGTTTCGGAAATCGACACAGCTCTTCATTGCAATTGCAAAGTGGATGGAGGGGCTCTCCATGTCGGCCCAAAAGATCTCTTCATGGATCATGTATCTGGGTGTGATACAACCTAGCAAAGATACCAGCCCCAGCATTAACAGTGCACTCCACAGGAGCGCAAGTGTCATCTGCAGCGTTCCTGGCGCAGGTTCCTATTCAAGACATCTGCAGGGTGGCGATGTGGTTGTCTATTCACACCATTACATCTCATTATGCCATTACACAGCAGGCTAGAGACAACGTCGCATTTGGCAGAGCAGTGCTGCAGTCTGCGAGTCGGTGAACTCTGACCTCTTCTCCTAGGGACTGCTTGGGAGACACCTACTTGGAATCGACATGAGCAATCACTTGAAGAAGAAAAAACGGTTGTCTACCTTTCGTAACTGTTGTTCTTCAAGATGTGTTGTTCATGTCCATTCCAAGATCCACCCACCTCCAAAGGGCTCCACAGCTGACCTGACGGGTACCGCTAGGGGAAATATCTTCCGGCGACCATGCACGCAGCGTGCACACACCTACTTGGAATGGACATGAACAACACATCTTGAAGAACAACAGTTACGAAAGGTAGGTAACCATTTTTTCTTGGATCATGGCCTACATCCATTACTGCAATGACCTTGCGAAGGTGCCTCCACCAGCGACTGCCCACACAACTAGGGTTTAGGCTTCATTGGCAGTCTTTCTGGCCCAGGTGTTGATTCAGGATATCTGCAGGGCTTCTACCTGGTCATCTTTCCACACATTTACGTCTCATCCGCTTACCCAGCAAGCCCAAGACGATGCTGGCTTCAGCAGAGCAGTGTTGCAAGCCACACAATTGTGAACTCTGAATTCGCCTCCAGGGATACTGCTTGTGAGTCACATAGAATGGAATTGACATAAACAAGCACTCAAAGAAGAAAAAACGGTTACCTACCGTTTCGACATGTGTTGCTTCTGTCCATTCCATTACCTGTCCTCCTGCCCCTCTGTCAGAGTTGCCAGCAAGAAGGAACTGAGAGTGCTTAGGGCCAGCGGCGCCTTATATACCTACACATGAACATGTCACTCAAGAGGGCGCCAAGACAAAAATCTCCGATGGCTGTGCACATGGGCGCACACACACCTTGAATGGAATGGACATGAACAACATATCTCGAAGAACAACAGTTACGTAAATTAGGTAACCATTTTTTCTGTTTCCAAATCTAGTCAATTTCAGTTAGCGATAATCCATGCAGGATTAAAACTGCAGATTTCAGAGAGTTTTGTGTTCATCAATAATAGGATAAGCCTTGTGTGCTCTAACACAGCATCATGTTTATTCCATCATGGATTAGGACCCAGTACTGGCTGCTGATAGCTGCATACTTTTCCGGAAGCAGGAACTCCACATAGTTTGTCACATTGTGGGGAAGAATGTATTTTCCACACACCCCGTATAGCTGACTAATCCACTCCACTCATGGATGTGTTGTTGGTTTGAATACTTCTGTTGCATACGCTGTAGGATTCCCTCCAGCAGTCTGGAATAACATCTCCCTCTGCCAATAGGGCACCACAAGACCTGTTATGTCTTCCAATATATGAAAGGCCTGAAATGAGAGAAAAAGCATTTTCCTGCGAGGGCCCTCCATATGACAATTACTTAGGAAATTTTTATGAAGCAGTTTTAATTTTAAAATTACCATTGCCTATGTACTTCTGTAACTATGATTAACAAGGCTGTGTCAAGAGACAGCGTGATGACTGAAGCATCCCCTTCACAATATGTGTGGGTTCACTTTAGAATTGTTATATTTTATGCCCTTGACGTTCCACAGTTATTAATTCTGTGCTCCTCCACAGAGTTACTTTAAACAATAACCCTCTGTTTCTTATAATATGTAAGGCCCATAACCTGTACTACCTGCTGTTCTTCAGGAACTCCATCCCTGGCTCAGCATACCCTCAGGTCCATTCCCAAAGGAAGCTTTTCCATGAAGAACACATGGTCGATGTTCTTGAGAGGGCAGAGCAGCAGTTCCAGTACCAGAAGAAGAGGGATGAAAGACTGGAACAATGGCAGGCTGACAGGCAGGAAGCAGGGTTGAGGCTCGCTGCCCAGGTGGAGGCGAGTGTTTCAGCAAGGGAGCAGGCACTTGCACAGTAGTTCCTGGAACAGAAACAGTGGCTAAGGGAAGAGGACAGAGCCCAACAAAGACAACTTTTCCAGCAACTCCTATCTTAATGGCTGCAAGATACTGGCTCCTGCTGCCTCTCCCACAGCATGGCATGATGCCCCAGCAACGTACCCTCAACCCAGCAGTAGCTTGCACAACTCCATGTTGGGGGGAGCCCAGGCACTCAGGACTGGTGAGCAGCTGGGCTGGGCAACTAAACCCTGTGCAGCCTTCCTTCTTTCACCCCTCTTTGCTTGAAACCTCCACCTCACTCACCCGTCACAAAGTCAGGGCTAAACATGTAAAGAAGGGAAAGGAGGGGCCAGCGGACATTCAGTGGTAGGGGGATTGTGTTAGGTATTAACTATTTTCTGTCCTTTATGTGGGGGTGTTTGGTGTTGTAATGGCAGCTGGCCTACCCAACACTGTGTGAGTGGTTTACTGTTTTCTGACCTGTTTACAAATAAAGAATGTTATATTTTCAAGAAAGTTTATTGCTGTTCAATGCATCATATCATACACACAGGATCTGAGATAAAGGTAAAAACATGTTAAGGAGTAATTAAGCATGGCAAAGCAAACAATATTCCTCTCTTTGCTGGTCCGCAATCACAAATTTATTTTTCATCATGTCATCTGACTTACATTACATAGCAATTAAATCCACACCCCTCCCATGCACTGCCCCCTGCCAAAAATGAGCCAGTCCTCTCCCCCACCCAACCACATTCATACAGGTATTATTCCCCCTCTTCTATTGGGCCATGCTAGTCAATAATGCGAATGCACACAAAATATCCCTTCTGCTGCACAGGTGCAACCAGCTCCCACAGTGGTAGCTGCACTTTCTGGCTGAGGGTACAGATCCAGCATTCCCTTGCTATCATAGATCTATTCAGGGGGAAATGGCTCACCTCTGGCCTCTAGGTTGTGAAGAGCACAGCAAGCCACAGTAATGCAGACAGCATTAATTATACTGGCATCTAAATGGGTTTGCAAACACCTCCAACATGATTTTAATCTGCCAAAAGCACATTCAATAACCATTCTACAGCTGCGTTGAGTGTAATTAAACCTTTATTTGCCAGGGCCTCGGAAATCAGGATATGGTTTCATAAGCCAAGTTAAAAGAGGGTATGTGGTGGTCCCCCAGAATAACTGTGTGAACAGTAACATCATTTATGTCAGTGTCATTTAGTAGGAATAGTGTCCTGGCCTGTCCAAGAATGTAGACTGCCGCGCGGTGAAAAATTCCGGCATTGTGAACTTTTCCTGTACAGCCCACGTTGACATTCATAAATCTGTGGTCCACTAGTTCCTGCATAAAAATGGAGTAATACCCTTTGTGGTTTATATATTCATGTGCTCCTTGAGAAGGGCATACTATGGGCACGAGTCCCATCACTTGCACTGTTACGAAACCCCACTCTCTCAAAGCCATCAGTTACCTCTAGAATATCTTTAATGTCTGCCACCTTGGGGTAAACCTCATGCCTGATTGTGTCAGTTACCTTTGCCACCACTTTACCCATAGTCAGCTTTCCAACCCCAAACCGGTTGGCAATAGACCTGGAGCAGTCTGGGGTAGCCAGCTTCCACACAGTTATAACACTCTGCTTTTGGACTGGCAAGGGTGACTTTGTGTATCTCTTTATGCTGGAGGGTGTGTCCGGGGAAGGGGGAGTTAAGAAGCTCACAAAGCTCCAGAAATGTTGCTTTCCTTATGCAAAAGTTCTGGATCTGCTGCTGGTCATCCCAGCTCTGCATGACTATCTGGTTCCACCAGTCGGTGCTTGTGGCCATACACTGGAAGCAGCGCTCTACGTAGGGGCCATCAGTGGCTATGCCAATTATACTGAGCAGCATCTGCCATTGCGAGTCTGTGATGCCAGGGTACTCCTCCTGCAGCTCCATCAGGAAATCAGTGAGGTACCTTTGGTGGGACAGAAAACATTGCACCAGCACCTTATGGATGTTCTGCCAGCTTCCTGACATATGCATGAAAATGCAAACAAGAGAAGTTCATCCAAAGATGCCTATTCGTTGTTGCTAGCTCTGGTAGCTGGGAGTACACAGAACAAAAAGATTGCTCGGCAGGATTTGTTGGCAGACAGTTAAAATTTCCTGTAATGTGCAGGATGAGCAGCAGAGTTTTCCCACAGTGCGACACATTCCTAGGGCTAGAATCAGCATTGTGGGGGGCATTGTGCTAGGAGCTCTGGGATATGGTTACCTTGACTCGGATCTGTACTTTGACTCGGAGTGTGGATGCCAGAGCCCTAGGTTTGAGCATCAGTCAGAAAATTCTTAACCTAGGGTTACAATGCAATGTAGACACTCAAGCCCAGGTTCCCTGACACAGGTCAGCTGACTTGAGTCTCGCTATGCGTACATTGCTTTGTAGAGCCTGTGTAAACTTGAAAGCTTGTCTTTCTCACAACAGAAATTGGTCTAATAAAAAACATTACCTCACCCACTTTGTGCTTTCTGTAGTTATAAGTAACACATAAGACTGATGAAATGGAAAGAAGTCAACAAATTTTTTCTTATGTTTGTGCAGATAGTTTCTCCCTTTCCGAGAAAACCCCTATAAACATCAACATTCAAAAGATCTAAATAAGAAACTTTTAAAGGATTTTAAAAACATATGATTTTACTATGTAAAGGCTGGTTTCTATCTGAAAGGGAGTTTAAAAAAAGTTTTAAAAATTGTTACTAAACGGCACATTATTTTAAGAAAAATACATGTTACAGTTATTCACCCTAATCTCCTTTTATTTCATGATCACCATCTGCTTAGTCTGATACAATAATACTTTGCACTTACATAGCACCTTTCATCCAAAGGTCTTAAAGTGCTTTGCAAAGCTAAGAACAGAGAGGCTAGGTGACTAGCCCATGGATACAGAGGAAGTTAGTGGCAGAGCCAGAACTGGAATAAGTGTTGACAGTCTCCTGCTTTAACCACATAAACAAACTGCTAATAGTAATAAAAATTAAAATTGCCTATAGGTGAAATTTTCCATGTAACTTGCCACTTCATGTTTCCTTTTTTATGTTCTTTTTCCTTATTTTGGACATCCATATTATATAAAATGACTTTTTGATCAAACCAATATTGATTACTGCATATGAATGTATATTATGTTGGAGAAATACATGATGCTATATTTGTATGTAATTATTACAAAATTGTCACACATTTCAGATTTGGTTTTAGAGTATAAGGATTAATGCAGTTTATTATATATATGTGGTAGAAAAGTAAAATGCTTTCATGATAATCTGTTACTGGAGCTTGGCGTTCTATTTTTTGTGCTGTCAAAGCCATGTCCCCTAAGTATAATTGGACTACTGCTTTTAGGGAAACAGTTTTGTTAAGTGATTAGAATAGGGGTCTGAAATTCAACATTGGCGGGTTCTCCTATTGGATCTGCCACTGTCTTGCAGTGCCATCATGGGAAATGTATTAATTTCCCTGTGCTTCAGTTTACCCATTTGTCTATCTCACGGAAGTGTTGTAGGGTTTAACTATGATCTATTTATTTAGAATACCAATGGATAGTTCAAAATATATTCTTTTCAATAAAGACTGATTTATAGTAGACATTTTTACACACTCTCTCTCTCTCTCATATATTGTTTTAACCCCGGATTCAGCATTTGCTATATAGTAGTTTTGTTGCTACCAAGTTTTTTTTACTGACTGAAGGTTGACTGAAGGTTAGGCTAGTACCTAGGATGGTCCTGCTGTTTGTTCTAACCACTAGACTACACTTCACATTGTTTCTAAACATAAGTAACTATTAATTGAATGGGTAATACAAAAAAAAATCATTTATCTGAGCCTTTCTGTTTGAGTTTAAGCAAGCAAAAAGGCAATCCCTACATGCGCTGCTGTATTTTATTGAATATTTTATTGAATATTATTTTATATTGAAAATGAACTCTACAGCTGTTTTTGAGTGCCCAAAGACTTTGTGCAAAATTAACATACTGATCAGTTGCAATCTGGTAATTGTTTCTTGTACTAATATGTAATGGACTTGATTACAGCAAAGTCAGATGAGACCTTTGAGTTCAGGTCTGAAATCATTTTTGTGAACAAGCATAGAAATTGGGAAGTTTCCTGTCCTGCTTTTTCTGTTTCCTTTATGAAAAAAGTACAGAAAAAAGTATTTCTCCTGTATTGTTTGATTTTCATGGAGTTATTGTTTTATTTTGATTTCAGGAAGACCATGCACTCAACTGCAGCTTCTGAACCCTGAACGATTTGCCCGGCTTATCAAAGAAGTTCTGAATACTGTGTGGCCTGGCAGAGATATGGTGGTACAATGGTATCCAGTTTCAGAAGATAAAAATCACCCATCTATTTCATGGCTTAAGATGGTCTGGAAGAATCTATATATACACTTTTCTGAAGACTTGACTATGTTTGATGACATGCCACTTATCCCGAAGATGCCGCTAGAGGAAGACCAGCTATTAGTGGAACTTATTAGACTTAGGTCTCCACCTGCAATTATTTTAGAAGATGAATCTGAGACACAGCTTCCGGGATTTTTAGCTGACATCATTCAAAAACTTGGTGGTGTTGTACTTAAGAAGCTAGATGCCTCTATGCAACATCCACTTTTAAAAAAATATGTGCATCCACCATTACCAGGTGCTGTTTTGCAGATAATGGAGAAACTGTCATTGCAAAAACTGTCCAGTCAAGTTTCATCATTACCTCCAACACATAAAGATGCTCTTAGGGGATTCTTAGCTAGTTTAACTGATGCCAGTGAAAAAGAGAGAAGAATTATTCAGGAGCTACTGATATTTAAAAGAATTGAACAATCATCTGATGAAGGGGTCACTGCTTTTACTGGATTAAAAGGTTGTAAAGTGTTGCATCACACTGCCAAACTTCCACCTAGTCTGAGACTTTCTATTCCAATAATTGACAGCAGTGATGAAGCTACCATTCGTTTAGCTAACTTATTAAAAGTAGAACAGTTAAAGAGCACAGATTGTCTAAAGTTTATTATACAGGATATTCAAAATGACTTTTATTCTTATGATGAAACAATACAGATTATGCTCTGGGTTCTTGAAAATCTCACTTTCCTCAAAAATGAGAATACAGATGTGCTAGATTGGCTGACATCACTAAAATTTATTCAGATTTCACAAGGAATGATAGTGTCGGCCAATGAACTTTTTGATCCTGAGGTAGAAGTACTGCAAAATCTGTTTTATGCTGAGGAGGAAATCTGCTTCCCACCCAGTATTTTTACAGCGTCTTCAGATATTCTTCATTCTCTGAGACAAATAGGTTTAAAAAATGAAAATGGTCTTGAAGAAAAAGACATTATGCGAGTAGCAAATAAAATTGAAAGTTTGCAAGGTGATTCTCGCACAAGCCATGATGTACTACTAAGAAAAGCTAGAACTCTGTTAATGATTTTGAACAAAAATCATATGTTGCTGCAGTCAGCTGAAGCAAAATCAATGCTGAAAAAATTAAAATGGATTCCAGCATGTAAGGAAAGACCTCCAAACTATCCAGGATCACTGGTTTGGAAAGGAGACCTTTGTAATTTTTGTTCACCACCAGAAATGTGTAATATAGGTCATGCAATTTTAGTTGGTTCATCAGTTCCCTTTGTGGAAAGTGTCCATTTAAATATAGAAAAAGCACTTGGTATCTCCACCAAACCTGGCATAAAAGCAGTCTTAAAACACTTTAAAGTGGTGGTTGATTGGCACAGTTCTAAAACCTTTAGTGATGAAGACTATTACCAATTTCAGCATATCTTGCTTGAAATTTATGGATTTATGCATGATCACTTAGAAGAAGGTAAAGATGCTTTTAAAGCCTTGAAATTTCCCTGGGTCTGGACTGGTAAAACATTTTGTTCCCTTACCCAGGCAGTAATAAAGTCAGTACCTGATCTTGATCTCCAACCTTATCTGCATAGTGTGCCAAAAACTATGGCTAAATTCCACCAGTTGTTTAAAAGTTGTGGTTCAATTGAGCAGTTGACACCAGACCACGTTTCCATGGTCATTCAGAAAATATATCTAAAGAGCGAGCAATCTCTCAGTGAAGAGGAGAGTAAACAAAATCTTCACATTATGCTGAATATTATAAGATGGCTATACAGCAGTCAGATTCCAGCAAGTCTGAATACACCTGTGCCTATATATTGTATCAAATGTCCTTTTAAGCTTGTAATGAAACCAATTCATGAATGTTGTTATTGTGATATCAAAATTGATGACTTAAATGATTTGCTTGAAGATTCTGTGGAACCAATAATTCTGGTGCATGAAGACATACCCATGAAAACTGCAGAGTGGTTAAATGTGCCATGCCTCAGTACAAAATTGATTAATCCAGAAAATATGGGATTTGAGCAATCTGGGCAAAGAGAACCTCTCACTGTAAGAATTAAAAACATTTTGGAGGAATACCCTTCTGTTTCAGATATTTTTAAAGAGCTGCTTCAAAATGCCGATGATGCCAATGCAACAGAATGTAATTTCATGATTGACATGAGAAGAAATATGAATATAAGAGAGAATCTTTTGGATCCAGGAATGGCAGCATGTCATGGACCAGCTTTGTGGTCATTCAACAATTCTGAATTTTCTGACTCAGATTTTCTAAATATAACTCGATTAGGTGAGTCTCTAAAAAGAGAAGAAGTTGATAAAGTCGGGAAATTTGGACTAGGGTTCAACTCTGTTTATCACATCACTGATATTCCTATCATTCTGAGCCGAGAATTCATGATAATGTTTGATCCAAACATTAACCATCTCAGTAAACATATTAGAGATAAATCTAATCCTGGGATCAAGATTAACTGGAGTAAGCAACAGAAAAGACTGCGAAAATTTCCTAATCAGTTCAAGCCATTTATAGGTGTGTTTGGTTGTCAGCTACCGTTGACTGTGGAGGCTCCTTACAGTTATAAAGGAACACTTTTCAGACTTTCCTTTAGAACTCAGCAGGAAGCTAAAGTGAGTGAAGTCAGCAGTACTTGCTACAATACAGCAGACATTTACTCTCTTGTGGATGAGTTTAGCATTTGTGGTCATAGACTGATAATATTCACTCAGAGTGTAAATTCAATGGTTCTGAAATATTTGAAAGTTGAGGAAGCTGACCCTGGTGTAGCACAAGATACAGTGACTATTAAAAAAAGTCTGTGTTCCTCCAAAGCATTGACTGCACCTGTTGTAAGTGTTTTAAAGGAAGCAGCTAAACTGATGAAGACTTGCAGCAGCAGTAATAGAAAGCTTCCCACTGAAACACCAAAATCTTCATGCATCCTACAGATAGTAGTAGAAGAATTTCATCATGTATTTAGACGGATCGCTGATTTACAGTCTCCACTTTTCAGAGGTCCAGAAGATGATCCATCTTCTCTCTTCGAAATGGCTAAATCTGGACAGATGAAAAGGCCAGCTGAAGAACTGCCACAAAAAACAGTAGATTCTTCCACTTGGCTCATATGTTCTTGCATGGATACTGGTGATGCTTTAAAATTTTCATTACATGAAAGTGGACAAAGACTAGGTCTTGTCCCCTGTGGTGGAGTAGGAGTACTGCTATCTGAAACTCAGGACCGAAAGTGGATTGTGAAACCTAATTGCAACAGCATTGGGGAAGTATTCTGCTATTTACCTCTACGCATAAAAACAGGTTTACCTGTTCACATCAATGGCTGTTTTGCTGTTACTTCAAATCGAAAAGAGATCTGGAAAACAGACACAAAAGGAAGATGGAACACATTATTCATGAGGCATGTTATTGTAAAAGCCTATTTAGAAGCACTTTGTGTTTTACGTGACATGACAGTCAATGGCGAGCTAGCTGACTACAGTTACTATGCAGTGTGGCCAGATCCTGACTCAGTGCATGATGATTTTTCTGTCATATGTCAAGGAATTTATGAAGATATAGCTCATGCAAAAGGGAAAGAAGGGATCAAAGTGTTCTCTGATGGTTCATCTTGGGTTTCCATGAAGAATGTGAGGTTTTTAGATGATTCAATACTGAAACGTTCAGACATTGGACCTGCAGCCTTTAAGATCTTCCTCAAATACCTTAGAAAAACTGGATCAAAAAATCTTTGCGCTGTGGAGCTTCCGTCTTGGGTAAAGGCAGGGTTTGAAGAAGCAGGATGTAAATATATACTACTAGAGAACACTTTCTCTGAGAGACAGTTCTTTTCGGAAGTCTTTTTTCCTAACATTCAGGAGATTGATGCAGAGCTGCGTGATCCTTTGATGCGTTATGTTCTGAATGAAAAGATTGAGGAGTTCTCAGGAATTCTTCGTATTACTCCCTGTATTCCTTGTTCTTTGGATAGACATTCTTTGGTTATACCTTCAAGATTGATCCACCCTGAAGGAAGAGTTGCAAAGCTGTATGATGCTAAAGATGGAAGGTTTCCTTATGGCAGCAGTCAGGATTACCTTAATCCAGTTATCTTGGTTAAACTTGTTCAGTTAGGTATGGCTAAAGATGATGTTTCATGGGAAGACCTAATAGAACGTGCAGAATCAGTAGCCGCAATTAATAGGAATGATCATGTTGCAGCCTGTCTCAGAAGCAGCATTTTATTAAGTCTCATTGATGAAAAACTAAAATGTAGAGATCCTAGAGCTAAAGAATTTGCTGCAAAATGTCAGACAATTCCTTTCCTCCCCTTCCTCACAAAACCAGCCGGCTTCTCATTACACTGGAAGGGTAGTGACTTTCAGCCTGAAACAATGTTTTCAGCAACTGACCTTTTCACTGCTGATCATCAAGATATTGTTTGTCTTTTACAACCAGTTCTTAATGAAAATTCCCATTCCTTTAAAGGTTGTGGGGCCATATCATTAGCTGTCAAAGATTTCTTGGGTTTGCTTAAGAAACCAACTGTTAATATGGTCATAAATCAGTTGCAAGAAGTTGCAAAGTCATTTGATGGAATTACATTGTATCAGGAGAATATCACCAATGCTTGTTACAAATACCTCCATGAAGCAATGCTACAAAATGAAACAACAAAAGCAGTGATCATTGAAAAGTTGAAAAATTTTAGTTTCATTCTTGTTGAGAGTGCATATGTTGACCCAACAAAAGTGTGTTTTCATTTGAACTTTGAAGCAACACCATATCTTCATCAATTGCCTAATAAATATAAAAATAGTTTCCGTGAACTATTTGAAAGTGTAGGTGTAAGAC